AGTTTTTTTAGTTTTTTAGTTTTTTTAGTTTTTTTGGTTTGGTGGGGGGGGGGGGGGGGGAAGGACCCAAACCCAAACCTATAGCCAACCAGATCAGTCTCCAACCTAACGAACCCGTCTCGAGATCCAGCCGAGCCCAGCCGAGCCCAGCCTAGCACCTCATCCCATCCCATGTAGAAAGCAAAAGCAAAAGCAAAGAAAGAAAGAAAGCACATAATCGAGCGGTAGCGTGTCGTACGCAGTACAGTGCAGTACAGTACAGTGCAGTACAGTGCAGGATCAGAGAGGGAACGGAACGGAACGGAGCGGAACGGAATGGAACGAAAGGAAAGGAAATGGAAAGAAAAGAAAGGGAACGGAACAGAACAGAACAAAATAAAACAAACAGGATAAAGCCCATCCCATCCCATCCCATCCCATCCCATCATCTTGTATGATGGACAAAGGGAGGGAGGGAAGAGGGAAGGAAAGGGAAGGGAAGGGAGGTATATACCTATACAACAACACGCGACCTGTCTGCAAGCACGGCAAGCACTGCAAGCAGTCGGTCATCCTCCTTTCTTTTTTCGGTTCGGATATGAAATGGGATTTGAAATGGAATGGAAAAACCGGGGGAGGTTTTCAATATTTCAAATTTTAGAAATCTCAGAATTTTTTTTTCAAATCCCAAATCTCACACCTTCTACCAACCACCTGCCCCCTTCCCTCCAAAAGAGCTATCCTCAATCTTCTTCTGGCTGCCGCCTCCGCCCCGCGTCGACTTCTGCTGGGCCGCCTCGTGCTTGCGCAACTCTTCCGGGACGCGCGAGATGGAGCTCTTGGTCAGCATCTGCTTGAGATCGTACATGACGTCGGCGTCCTCGTTGCCGAGGAAGGTGATGGCCACGCCGCTGTTGCCGGCACGTCCGGTACGCTAGAATGGTGGCCGTTAGCAAAAGTGTATGTATGTATGTATGTATGTATGTATGTAGTTCTATTAGAGGGGAGGAGGAGGAGGGGGGCGGTGGAGGGAAGGGGGGGGGAAAGATGATACGTACTCCGACTCGATGGGTGTAGCTCTCGATGTTGGTAGCCATGTTGAAGTTGACGACGAGGCTGACGTCGGGGACATCGATACCACGACCCGCGAGATCAGTCGCAACCAGCACGTTCGTGGCCCCGGAGCGGATAGACGCCAGAGCAGCCTCGCGCTGCTCCTGGGTCTTGCTACCGTGCAGGGTGACGGACGAGAATCCCATGTGTTTGATATCACGTGCCACGGCATCACAGTTTCGCTTGATGTTGACGAACACGATGATGGGGGGTCGGAATTCTCCCGACGCGAGAATCTCGTTGAGGCGCTTCTTCCGCTTGTCTTCGCCGGATACGAACTCGACGCGCTGCTCGACCGTCTCGACGGCTTCTCCTATGTTCCCAATCGTGACGATGGCCGGTCTCCTCAGGTACTTCTTGGCAATCTTTTCAACCGCAGACGGCATGGTGGCGGTGTACATCATTGTCTGTCTGTACCTGTCCTTTCCTCCGATGTGCTGGCTCATAGCTTGGGCGTCCTCGGCATCTTCAGTGTCAGGCTTCTCGTTGGACACGGGCAGAGCATCGAGGATCTTGTTAACGGAATCCTCGAAACCAAGATCGATCATGCGATCAGCTTCGTCCATGATGATGTAGCAGCATTGGCCCAGAACCAAGACACGTCGCTCAATACAATCCACCAGACGACCTGGGGTTGCAATGACAATCTCTGCACCGTTCCGCAAGTTGTAAGATTGCTCCTCGAGGGCGTGTCCACCGACAATGCTAACGCAAGTAAAGCCAAGCGGGGTTGCAAACTTCTTCGCCTCCGTCTCAATCTGTTGAGCCAACTCACGAGTTGGCGCAAGAATGATAGCGTAAGGACCGTCGTTCTTAGTCAGGTCGTTCAACTGAGGAAGTTCCGAGATGTAAACCAGCAGCGGCAGCAGGAACGCAGCAGTCTTTCCGGATCCCGTCACTGCAACACCAATCAAATCTCTGTTCTGTAAAGCGATGGGTATAGCAGCTCTCTGGACCGCAGACGGCTGGTCATACCCAACTTGAGCGACAACGTCAAGAAGGCGTTTGGGCAGTCCTGATTCCCCCCAGTTCCGCATCGGATTGGGTATGCTTCCACCTTTCGTGCTGATGTTGAAATCTTCCTTGAAGATCCGCCAATCCCTCTCCCGCATGTGCTCCAGTTTCTTCTCGCTCCAATGCTTCTCCAGGGAGTTACGTCCACCGGCGTCTTCCTTTCGGCGTCTCTCCATCTCCATAATCTCCCTCGCACGCGCGGTTCCTGCCTCCGCATCTCGTGCCTCCAATGCCTTGGCATACTTGATCACGCCGCTCTCGTTAATATCTTCCGCAAATCCACCCAGACGTCCTCGGCCAAAGAAGTTCGCCTCCGAGCGCGTCGAGTAAATGGGATTGTAGTCCGGACTCGTATCTTCCTCTGCATTCCACTCAAAATTGAACTTCTTCTCGGTCGTTCGCCTCCTCTTCTTGTTCGCAGAGAACGTCGACAAGTTGGTCTCAGCACCCATGTACCGCGTCCGAATAAGAGCAGCCTGTGTACTCTCTCCATTCGCAGGTCGCTTTTCTCCAGCCAGATGAACATTCTTAACAACAGGCGCAGCCTTCGTAGGCGCGTTATGCCCGCCCCCTCTATCGCCACTCTGTCGCTCTCCCCCAGCCGCCCTCCCCGAATGGTTGTTCCGTCCAGCAAACGGCCCAGAAGGCGGATCTTCATAGCGCATCGCCCGAGGGCCCGTAGGGACTGACGACCTATCCCGGCCATTCGCCGCGTACTCTGCAGAGTCCCTCCCATTTCTCTGCGCGGGGCCACTCTCCACGAACATAACCCCGCGAGCCTCAGCCCCCTTCTTGCGCCTCGCCTCCTCGACTTCCTTCTCCCTCTTCTCCAGAGCGATTTTCTCGCGTTCGGCCTTGGACAGGAATTTGGGCTGTAGAATCACACGGTCAGTACGTGTTGCGCCACAGTGAACTAGACATGCTTTGTGAACATCGCTACCAGAGGGAACAGTATGGGAGCGGTAGCGTACCTTTGCTGCGGCTTCGTCGGCATCTTTCTTCTTCTTAAGAATGTCCTCGATGCTGAGCGGTCCTCGGTCCCGCGATGCGCCCCATCCTTTCTTCTTCTTTGGCGGCTCTTCTGGGGGCGGGGGTAACAGTTCCGAGGGCGGCGGAGGGGGGAGATCGCTGGGCGGGGGTGGTGCGTCCGAGTCTGGAGGGGGAGGGGGGTCCATCGAGTCTGGAGGGGGTGGTGGAGGGGATGGTAGCCTTCCGTTCATGTTGGCTAGAGGGGGTAGAATCGGTGAGAGGTTGCTGAGATTCACAATACCCGTCAAGGAAATACCTCGAGCCTTTCGATTATAGTTGGGAGGAGCGAGGGCAGTAGAGAGTTAAAGTCGGAGTGATTGATTACCTTTATGGATAGATGGAGTCGCGATGAAGCTCGAAGTTCGGACGAGGCTACAAGGCTCCAAAAAAAAGCTCGCCAAGCGTAAGATTCCCTTAAATCACAACAGTCAACGCCGTGAGTTCCAGCTCCATTGGAACACCAACCCAGAACCCCAAATTTGTAGCCAACATGGCAACACATGCGAAACAATACATCCAGCTCGCAGAGCAGCTGCCCCCTCGGCTAAGCCGATTCTTCGCGCGCTACCCGCCACAAGCCATCGTCTCCTCATCCACCTCCTCATCCACCTCCTCGAGCCCACCTCCTGCCGTCGACTCGAGCACTCCCATTGCGGCTACCGTCCCAACTCCGGCGGCAGGACAGGATGGATTGACGGTGCCCTCCCCGTTTCGGGCGCAGAAGAACCCCATCACTGGTAAATGGCACGACCCGGTGTTCTCGCTGCGGCGACAGGCGGACCTGCTGAAGCTGGCACGATTACATGGCGTGGAGGAGCTGATGCCGTTCTCGGTCAAGAGCACGGAGGAGAGGCTGCGGAAGAGGATGGAGAACGGGCTGAGGGTCAAGGGGACGGGGATTGGGCAGCGGGTCAAGGGGAAAGAGTCGGAGAGGACGCTGAAGGGACGGTACGTTGGAGCTCCTCTTGCATTGCTCTGGGTGCTGTGGATGGCCTTGGAGAAGGCGAGAGTGCGTGCTGATGGTGTCTTGATACAGGTTGGAGAAGCGCAGACAGGCTATGCTGGAGATGCCACAGATGATCCAGACGTGGAAGGAGGTAAGTTGTCTATTGAAGGGGGAGGGGGGGACTGGGTCACGGCTGCTAACCATCACTGCAGAGAGGTCACGGTCGTGGATGGAAGAAGTGGCCGAAATAGAGGCATCGCTGATGTTGGCGATCCGAAGCAGTACACCTGGAAGGCGGAGATATCTTGTACCCACATCACATTCAAAGTGCCATGCGTGGGCGCCGGCGTTACGAGCCTGTTCAATAGAAGACCATTTGTACATCAGGCCCTCATCTTCGTACTGGAAAAGGCTTCCGGGATATCATGTATTAAAGATACTCCTTCCCCAGCACCTACCTCGCATCTCATCTCCAGAAGCCTTCCGGTGCAAAGGCAGCAGTTCAGCCAGGTATGCCTGGGATGCAGCTGGCACATCACATGCTCGATGCTCACTCAAACCCCAAGGTTTACGGAACGTCTCAGGTCTCGTGGCCACCACGCAGGTAGATGTTGAGATGCAATGTACTCACTCACTGCTGCGGCTGCGGTTTGATATCAACGAAGCTAGCTAGCTCCATGACCTTACCTGTATCTGGTGGCAAGTGCCATAGATGAGGTCACTCCGTAGATGGGCAGGCAGGTCGGGTCTCTCTGGGGGACCGGTAAAGGTCGCGGGGCTTTTTCAGGCACCGGTCACGGGGCTTTCCACGTCCTGTCATGTTCGACTTTGTTCGTCTACGACTAACGGACCGGTATCTGCCGATATCAATCAATCCCACGGAAATCCGGTTCCGTAGGGAGGAGGTTTGATGGATTGAGAGATATCCTCCGTAACCTCGCCCACCTCCCCTCCCCTCCCTAGCTTCCTTACCAGTAGTAGCGAGAAGTCAATTGACATGTGAGATTGACAGCACATGCACGGGATACGGTAGCGGTATGTACTATGATCATTGGTATGAGACCTTGCACCAACCATTCCGTTGATAAGTAGCGGTAGGTACAGCAATTGCTCCGACATATCCTTCCTACCCCTCCTGCCCTTTCCCCAACGGAAAAATCCCAATCCCAATCCAAATCCAATCCCAATCCCAATCCAAATATCCCCAGCCTCCCCAGCCCCAGCCCCAACGGAAACAAGCGAGGTTTTGGATATCCCTGCGCCACATCCGTCCGTCGCCCGGCCTCTGATTCGCTGATCTGGACGTCGTCGTTGCTTTTGGGAATATCTTGTGTGGGCATGGCACTTGGCGGTGAAGGGGAAATGTGGAGGAGAGAGAGAAGAGGTACAGGGAGGGAGATTTCAATCCAGTATGCAATTGATGCAGCAGGATCAGGATCTGTGTGTTGACATTCCGACATGTGTAACCGTGGACGGGATGTGGAAGAGAACGAGGACGAGGACGAGGATTCTCTCCCGAGAGATGTTGGCATGCACCGACATTCAGCATTGACCGTAGATGTACTACGTAAATCGAAGAGGCGAATGATAATCAATGTAGTACCGTACCGGGTACTGTAGTAGTAACAAGTAGCAAATGTGTCTAAGCGAAGCGAGATACTGACTTCCTTCATGTGGCGTGGCGTGGCGATATCGATAAAAGGGTTCTCGAAAGTGGAGAACTGTCTAACAAACCCTGGACAGGGCGAAAAACTTGGCGGCACACCACGGAATATCCTCCCGACTCTTCTTCAGAATAAAAGCCTCAACTTCCTTCTCCTGCCCGCCTTGACCTCCTCTTCTTCTTCCAATTCCTCTCTTGAATATCATAAAGCAACCCTCTGTTTCCCACCCTCACCTGCTCAGCTCAGTTGGTGGCTCTTCCAAATCCCCCCCCCGTGTCCTTTGTACGTTCCCATCCTTAAAAAAACCCCCCATCTCAATTGAACCACCACTCTGACACATTGACCAGCTGTCTCGTCCCACGAAAACTCAGCTGGCGTCCGAGTCCCGATACACAACAATTCGTCGAAGGCCACCATTTCAACTCGTCCGACTATCCTTTACTCCCGTCGAATAGCTTCCACGCTCACGACACGACTTGATCGATTTTCTCCTCCTCAACTGCATATAATTCCAGTCCAAAGCTCTGCCCGCACACAGTCCTCACCATGTCTTCCACCGCGGTTCCCCAACACCTAAACGCCGTGAAGCGGACGGTTACATCCACCGGGAACGAATCCTCGCCCTCCACTGCTGCAGGATCCCCCAATGACACCCCCAGACAATCACCATCTTCGACCTCGCTGTCGTCAATGTCGTCCCTGGGAGATGTGAAGGACCAGGGCTACGGAACCCTCCTCGATACATACGGCAACAAGTTCGAGCTCCCAGACTACACGGTCAATGATATTCGTAACGCGATTCCCAAGCACTGCTACGAGAGGTCTGGACTGAGAGGATTGGGCTATGTTGCTCGGGATATTGCCAGTTTGGCCACCACCTTCTACCTGTTCAACAGATTCGTCACCGCCGAGAACATTCCCAGCACTCCAATCCGCGCTGCGCTCTGGTTCGTCTACACTGTTGCCCAAGGTTTCTTCGCCACTGGCCTCTGGGTTCTGGCACACGAATGTGGCCACCAATCCTTCTCCACCTCCAAGATCCTCAACGACACGACCGGATGGATCTGCCACTCGGCCCTGCTCGTTCCTTACTTCTCGTGGAAGATCTCCCATGGCAAGCACCACAAGGCTACTGGCCATCTGGAGCGTGATATGGTATTCGTCCCCAAGACTCGAGAGGTTTACGCCAGCCGTGTTGGAAAGCTTGTCCACGAGCTTGACGAGTTGACCGAGGAGACTCCGATGGCTACGCTCATCCACTCCATCGGACAACAACTTGTCGGATGGCCCTTGTACCTCATCGCCAACGTGACTGGCCACAACAACCACGAGAAGCAACACGAGGGCCGTGGGAAGGGCAAGGTCAACGGATACACTACGGGTGTCAACCACTTCAACCCAGCTAGTCCTTTGTACGAAGCCAAGGATGCTAAGCTTATTCTGCTGAGTGACCTTGGAATTGCCATTGCCATTGGCGTTCTCGTCTTGCTCTCCAAGACCTATGGCTTCTCCAACATGGCTGTCTGGTACTTCGCCCCCTACCTCTGGGTGAACCACTGGCTCGGTAAGTCTCACGCTCCCTGAACCCAATGTCATCTTCTGACACACCCCAGTTGCCATCACCTTCCTCCAGCACACCGACCCAAGTCTTCCCCACTACACAGGCGAGAGCTGGAACTACGTCCGTGGTGCTGCCGCAACCATTGACCGCGAATTTGGTTTCATTGGCCGCACGCTCCTCCACGGCATCATTGAGACCCACGTCCTGCATCACTACGTCAGCACCATCCCGTTCTACCACGCCGACGAGGCCACCGAAGCCATCAAGTCCGTCATGGGGAAGCACTACCGTGCCGACGTCCGCGGCGGCTCCCTTGGATTCTTGAAGTCGTTGTGGAGTTCTGCCCGATGGTGCCAGTGGGTCGAACCATCTGAGGGCGCTGTCGGAGAAGGCAAGGGAGTGTTCTTCTTCCGCAACCGGAACGGGCTTGGCACGGCACCCCTGAAGTTGAAACCCGCCAACTAGACCGAATAATGATAATTCTTGACTTTAAACAGGCGTGGGATTCTGCGCGTGCATTGGCATTATTTGGTTGGCTTCTCCTTTCTCGAGTCCGGCGAGTCGGAGGATGGGTGTTCTGGCGTCGATGTTCTTCCCCTCCGACCGAATTTGCGAGCTTTGGGGAAGGCTCTGGTGTGTCTGGTATGTAGAGATGGAAGAAAAGGAGGGAGATATGCAGAGGAAGAGAACTGCGATCGATAGATGGGCTGGGCTGGTACGGGCTGCTTTGAAAATAACACCACCTAGATTAAGCTGTATAGAATCCGCTTTCGAGTCCTAAAAAGAAATGAAATGAAACGAAGCTCACATTTTTGATTTCTTTTTGATTTTGAAGATTTGGTCGCCAGAGCTCAGGAGCTAACGGGAAAAAAAGTGACTTGGTTGATGTAAGCTACCTAGCTCCGTGACTTGCTATCAACTGGCGGGAACAGAATGCAACCCCCTCTCGCCCCCCCACCCCCTTCTCCAGAGATATCAGCATCTCAAAGCCAAAACCAAAGCCAAAGCCAAAGCCAAAGCCCAACTTCAAATCACCGCATCAGATCACATCATCATCACCTCTCCCTTGAAGATAAGAAAAGAAAAGAAAAGAAACCCCTCCCTTTCCCCGCCCCACCACCAAACCTCTCTCTCCCCACAGCTCGCGTCCAATACCGGTAGTCAGTGAGTGCGCTTAACTTTTTTCACCTGCGCCCTGCGGGCTCTCTCGGTAACAATCAGGACAAAGCGTGCAAGCAAGCAAGAAAGCAAGCAAGCAAGCAAGCAAGTGTCGAAGAGCCTGCAGGTAGGTACTAGGTAGGTAGGTACTAGGTAGGTAGGTAGGTAGGTAGGTAGGTAGGTAGGTAGGTAGGTATGTGAAAAGTCAGCGCGCGCGCTGATGGTTATACTAGGTACTAGGTACTAGGTACTACTACTGGTAGGTACAGTACTAGGTAGGTACAGTACTAGGTACAGTACTAGGTAACGTATATTGAGAAGAGAAAGGGGGGTGGTGCAGGGAGGGGGGGGAGATGAGATTTTAAAAAATTTTAAGAAAAAGGAAAAAGAAAGGAAGGAAGGAAAAAAAAGGGGGAAAAAGGAAAAAAAAAAAAAAGGAAAAGGGGTAAGAAATAAAAGGGGAAAAAAAAAAAAAAAAAAAAGTTACCCCCAAGGGAGGAAGGGAGGAGAAGAAGAGGACGTGGATAGCGGTGGCATGGTAGGCTGAACCGCAACCCAAACCCCAAACCCCATATGGTCAGTCCGCTCGCTCGACCGCCCGTCCGCTCGCCCGCCCGCCTATAGAATGGAGAGCGAATGCCGCGATGCCTACCGGTACTACGACAACGACGACGGGAGTACCTGCGATGCTGACTGACTGACTGACTGACTGACCCCGGCGAGACGTCCAAAACCCATCCGTACGACTACTGGGAAGGGCGATTATCTTGAGGTCTTGATCTTTTATATCGGACTTGATTTTTTTTCCTTCCTTCGCTTAGCTTTTTAGAATCACCTATGCACCGACCGGCATGCCCGGCGCTCGGCTTCATCCAGCCGGCGTTCAGTCTTTATATCCCCCTGACGTCTATGTGTGCACACGCAATGGAGATGGCAGCAAGAAGATACCGCTTCTGATCCTCACTTGAGGATAAGCAAGCGCCGATAATGTCAGGAAGAAAAGGGAAAAAAAAAAGCTACAGATAACATCCCTCAGGATTCGATTCCCCCCTTATGGCATAATCTCCTCAGTCTCCTCGACAATCTCCTCGACAATCTCCTCGATAATCTTGTCTTCACTCTCATCCGTCTTAGGAAGCAGGTCCGCCACAGGGTCAGCTGGTAAGCCACGAGCCTCACGCTCCTCAGCGACATCTTGAATGGTCTCCTGTCTCCATGCCAGCCACTCGTTAAGCAGACGGCGTCTGTGCTCCACGACGGCAAGATCGGCGGATGCGAAGCGGTCGAGATCCTCTTGGTCGAAGATTTTGCTGTACTCGCGGAGGTTCTTGCGGATCTGCTTCTGCTCTTCCTTCGTGAGGAGGGACGGGGGGCGGGGGCGCCAGAGCCATTGCTTGAACTTCTCGACTGGCTCTTCGCGGAGTTGCTCGCCCTTGAAGTCGTACAGGTGGTAGCCGTTCTCCATCTGTTCGTGTGTTAGTATGTATATGGACAGCTCAGCGTAATGGCTATACGTACAGCGTGCTTCCAGACCGAGGCACTGGTAGCGACGAAGCGACCCGTTGGGTCCCAGTCAATGTCAGTGACACCATAATGATCAGCAGTGTTCATGAGTTGAAGGTTGGCGGTCAAGTCCTTATCGCTCTCTGGCCTCTCGCCCTCGAAGTCCATGTCGTAAAACTCCATCTCGAAACTTTGCTGCGAGTGAACGGTAGCAACGATGACGAATCGTCCTTTGGGTGACCAGTAGATGGCATTGCTATTCTTCTTGTCGTATGTTCGGATGTGCTTGAAGTTACCAACACCAGCACCCTTGACCTTCTCAGGGCAGTAGAATGCAACCGAGGTCTTCGGGGGGACAGCTGATGGGGCAACAACTTCAGCAGTGGTGATGATGACAAAACGGTCTCCCTTGGGCTCCCAGGCAAAATTGATGACGGTGTCCTTGATCGAGTCGACAACCTCAACGGGTACTCCCTTTTCGCGGACACGGAAGATTTCCAGACTGGTGGCCAAGGACTTCTTGGATTTGGAGTGTCTGTCGACCTTAACGCAGAGATAGTCTGCATTTGATTGCCAGTGGAGCTTTGCATCAGTGACACTGAAGAGGTTGAGAGTTCTGACGATTTCCTTGGACGGGATGCTCATGAGACCGACTTTTGCGGGGTTGCTACCGATCTCAGGGGTCCAGAAGCAGAAGAGTTGTTCGTACGTCTTGACACCCTCTCTATGTGGTGTAGCCGGAGCCCAGTCAAATTCCATCACACCGTCAATTTTAATTGAGGTCTTGTCCAAAAGCCCCATTCGAGGCAATTCGTAAACGGAGATAGATGTACCTTGAGTCAGACGTGCAACGTACTTGTCATCGGCAGACCACTTGAATGCTGGCCAGACGACCTTGCGCTTCACTGGTTGGCCAGCTTCGTCGACAGAGTTACTGGGAAGATCCAGATTTGCGAACGAACGGAGTGGCTTGCCAGTCTCGATATCCCAGATGACATAGTTCTTTCCATCATCATCGACCGACAGCGCTGGATGGCCTTCCTCACCAATGACGATTGGCCGATTCGACCATGTTGTAATGTACTTCTCTCCGGGCGAGAAGTCGACCAGGTTGACGAACGGATGGGGAAATCGCTTGTATCTGGTCCAAGATGCGCCGCCCCAGAGCTGAACACCCTGTTGATGCATGGACGTGAGATATGTGCCCAAGGGAGACCATTGCACAAATGATTCAGTCCAGTGTTGACGGTCGACAATGCTCTCGGGCGCATCCTTCTCGTTATTCCACAAGACCTGGACCCGGTCATCCTTGTACATAACGAACTGGTCCCGTCCGCGGCCACTCGGATCTGCCAACCAGGATCGCAAGTGCTCCTTTTCTTGGAACGGTTCGATCTTGGGGGGCGTGTAGTTCTCGTCGATGCGGCCTTCTCGGCCAAATCGCTCAATGTCCGTCAACTTGTTCACCCTCAAGACGTGCTTCTTGTCCAAGGGAACGCCATCAAGTTGTTTGCATGCCGCGAGGGCCTCCGCGGGGGTAGAATATTCAACGAACGCAAACCTGAAGGACAATCAGCAGAGAGAACTTTGCGCGCACAACAAGCAGTTGAAGTATACCTCTCTGATTTCCCACCTGAGAGTGGCATGTGAATCGACTCCTCCTTGACCTTTCCCACGGGCTCAAGCTTCCGTCGCAAGAACTTGATCAGCTTGGGCTTTGTTTCCTCCGTGACCTCGGGCAATCCATCGACAACGACGAAAGCGTCCAGTCCCGACTCCAGCTGAACCTCGAATTTCTCTCGCAGATCTGAAAAGTCGAGCTCCTCCTCCTCATCGTAATCCTCCTCCTCGGGATCTGGCAGATGGTCGAAGCTCGGCGCCATGATTGCGGCTTGATGCGACCTGCGGTCTCGGTGTTTGAGCGTACTGCACTATTTTCTGTTGAATTGTATTGTGAGTGTCTCGTACTCTTGGTTGGGTCGGGCGGGGTTGGTGGTGTTGTTCGTACGGAGTAGGGAATGGTTTTGGCGCTTTCAAAAATACCCCACTTTAATTTTTCGATTTGTGCGCCTGGATGCGGGATGCGGGATGTCGGCCAGGGTAGAAGCCCAGGAATGGTTTCGCAGCTGCAGAGCAGAATTATTTAGAGGAAATGATTCTCTTGGGGGATTTTTACGTCAGGTCAAGTCGATAACGGTACGCTACTTGTTAGTCAGAGAAGAATGAGTTATGCGAATGTTAGTCGAGTTGAGTTGAGTTGAGTCAGTCGGGCAATTCTGGTTGTAGTGGGCGGCCCCGCGACCACTTAGCGAGGATCATATAGCGGCAGCGGTCTCAAAATATTTGTGTAGACGCGAGGCGCGACAGCGGGAGCAAAAGTTCAACACGAGTACCATACCAACAATACACACCCAATATGGCCTCCTTCAACCCCACGCAGATCTTTGATGACGGTACCACAGAAGAAAAGGGCGAGAACGCTCGTCTTTCTGCGTTCGTTGGCGTAAGTCACGCAGCTTGAACCTGCTTCATCAAACACTGACTGTTACTTCTAGGCCATCGCTGTGGGCGATCTAGTGAAGTCTACCTTAGGTCCGAAGGGCATGGACAAGATCCTCCAGAGTGCCTCTACGGGGACGATCTTGGTTACAAACGACGGTGCTACAATCCTCAAATCCATAGCTCTCGACAATGCTGCCGCCAAAGTCCTAGTCAACATCTCGAAGGTCCAGGATGACGAGGTTGGAGACGGAACCACATCAGTCACAGTGTTAGCTGCTGAGCTACTGAGAGAGGCGGAGAAGCTGGTAGACAAGAAGATCCACCCCCAAACGATCATCGAAGGTTACAGAATAGCAAGCCATGCCGCTCTGGCAGCCCTGGAGAAGTCTGCGGTGGACCACAGCAACAATCCGGAGGCGTTCAGGAAGGATTTACTGGCTATTGCGCGCACAACTCTGAGTTCTAAAGTCTTGTCCCAAGACCGGAATCACTTTGCAGAGTTGGCTTGCGACGCTGTGCTGCGGATGAAGGGCTCCTCGGATCTCAGTCACATTCAGATCATCAAGAAGGCCGGTGGAAAGCTCCAGGACTCCTATCTCGACGAGGGATTCATTCTGGACAAGAAGATTGGTGTCAACCAGCCCAAGAGATTAGAGAAGGCCAAGATTCTGGTAGCAAACACTTCCATGGATACGGACAAGATCAAAATATTCGGTGCCAGAGTCAAGGTTACTTCAACAGGCAAGCTCGCCGAGCTAGAGAAGGCAGAGAAGGACAAGATGAAGGCCAAGGTTGAGAAGATCAAGGCGCACGGCATCAACTGCTTCATCAACCGACAACTTATCTACAATTGGCCCGAGCAACTGTTCTCTGATGCTGGAATCATGTCCATCGAGCATGCTGACTTTGATGGGATTGAGAGACTGGCTTTGGTAACTGGTGGAGAAATCACATCCACATTCGATCACCCCGAACAAGTGAAGCTCGGCCACTGCGATCTTATCGAGGAAGTCATCATTGGTGAGGATACCCTGATCAGATTCTCAGGTGTTGCAGCTGGCCAAGCCTGCACTATTGTCCTTCGTGGAGCAACGGAGCAACTTCTTGACGAGGCTGAACGATCTCTTCATGACGCCCTGGCAGTCCTGTCACAAACTGTGAAGGAACCACGAACCACCCTCGGAGGCGGCTGCGCTGAGATGTTGATGGCTAAGGCTGTCGAGGGTGCCGCACTCAAGGTTGATGGAAAGAAGCAGATTGCCGTTGCTGCATTCGCTACCGCTCTTCGTCAATTACCTACCATTCTTGCCGACAACGCCGGTTACGACTCCAGTGATCTTGTCGCCAAGCTCCGAACCGCCATCTACGATGGGATGACTACGTACGGCTTGGACTTGCTCACTCCAGGCGGCGGCATTACAGACATGCGCGAGCTTGGCGTGATTGAGAGCTATAAACTGAAAAAGGCGGTTGTATCATCTGCTTCAGAAGCTGCTGAAGTAAGTTCCCCTCTAATGTGTTTGAAGCCGTGCTAATGCGTGGCAGCTGCTGTTGAGGGTGGACAATATCATACGTAGTGCCCCACGGAGACGTGAGAGATGATTGATGAAAGGTCGGAGTTCTCTGTATTATGAAAGGGGAAAATAAATTTGGAGCGTTGTAGTGTAGTATACCATGGATCATATTGCAACCTCAACAGTTAAACCAAGCGAATGATCTCGGATGCATCCTGACTTTGGAATCATGGATGGAGGTGAGGTTTGTTAGTTGCACAGCTGCCGTGATGGATTGATCGGCGGCGCTCGGGACATTGCCGCTGTGTCTCCCCGATCTCTTTGAATGGCGATATGCCTATTCAAGGCCCGTTTGAGACCCGCATAAGGCTTTGTACATCCATCTCATCTCACCTAAAGAATTCCGAGAGCAGGTTTCTCAAGGACCAACGCACAGTAATTTCATACTGCGGCATTTCGCATCTTGCCTCTCACAGTCCGTGTACCGGTATGTCGCGTCACTTTATACTTTTTTCCACATTTCGCTATTTCTGGCAAATGATGTTTGTGGACTAAGGTATGCTGGTAGAAGTAGTTTGTACCTAGTATTAGTAGTAGCTTAGCCCCTTACCGCGATGCCACCACAGGATTTCGATAGTTGCAAGGCCAAGAAAACATCGTAGCGGCTCAGCCTCTCAGGAGTCAGGACAGTAGCAAGGGGGCGAACCGGCCGCTGATGCACTCCGTAAGGCTGCACTGCACTACACGCATCTCCTCTGGACAGTACCGGTACCGGTACTCTGTACAGTACTGTATATAGAAGCGGGATTGTAAATGCGCGCTTGTAAGCTGACCGAGATCTTCGGATTCGGCGTGCTGTTCCTCGATACCACGTCGAGGCCTTTCCTCAATGTGAATGCATTGTACTTACCTAGTACTTCATGGCTCCAGCTGCCATCCCTGACACGATTGTGCTGGTTCCCCGTCGCTCGGCCGCTGCTCCGTACGGCGTCTCGAAGGTTCGCCCCTAAACAGGGCCACAATAACTCTCCACCCGTATTCCATCATACAACGTACCGGTACTTCGAGTGAATTTCTGAAACATCGAATCCTTTGCTAAATATCACACTTCCCCCCTCCCTTTCTCCCCCTCCCGGAGAAAAACCCTCCTCTCTATCGCCCATCGCCATCATTGTCTCGAGCATCTCACCCCTCGCCCACATCGCCTTTGCGACTCGACCACCACACGAAGACTGAACGAGCCCTCCTATCAGGCAGACTTGCTCTGTCTGTATCCTCACCCAGCAGCAACGTTGAAGGGCCGCAATGCCGCGACGGCGGCCTCTTCATGATGGCCACGTCAATGTCAATATCCTTATAATTGTGGCCTTGCTATTGATTGGAATCGTCGGCGCTCAGCAGCAGCAACGACGCGCGGTAGATCGAGAATCGCCCCATGAAGGACTGAAGCTCGAGGCCACCAAGATACCCCCCCCAGTCGTCACTCCCGGCTCCGCGAGAAGAAAGAAGACGGCAGAGGTTGATACGGGGAAATTTAACAACAACGACAACAACAACAACAACAGCAACAATAACAAGAAGAAGAAGAACGATGCGAGCGCCCTCGTAACTTTGGCTCCGGCAGATAGTGCCGTCGAAGCACCTCCTGCAAGGCGGCCCAGCCCAATAAGTGCTGGGCTTACCTCGCCGCAGAAAAATGCGCGGAACCTTGAGGATTGGGAAGTGGAAGATTTTGTGCTTCTGGCGACCGTCGATGGAAAGCTACATGCCCGGGGAAGGAAGACTGGCAAGCGGAAGTGGGAAGTGTCATCCGAGAACCCTATGGTGAAGACGGAATACCATCGCCCGAATCGATCGTCTGTCGACGCCGATTACAACCCAAACTCGATCGACGAATATCTGTGGATCGTGGAACCCAGTCCAGACGGGAACCTGTTCGTTTACCAGCCCAATGGACCCAACCCCGGATTGGTCGACACGGGTCTCACGATGAAGAAGCTGGCTGGTGAGATGTCACCATACTATGATCAGGAGAATGGGATCATCTACAATGGATTGAAGAAAACGAGCATGATTACAGTCGACGCAAACTCGGGGGAGGTTTTAACCTATTACGGTTCAGAGGGTGCCCTAGACAACGGGAATTGCAAAGCATCCGATGGAAAATTTGACTCGGATGAGTGCAAATTCGCTACTCTCGCTATTGGCAGACTGGAGTATGAAGTCCAAATTTCTGGGAAAAAAGATCATCGCCAAATTGCTACCCTGAGATTCTCCGAGTGGATCCCCAACACCTACGACAATGATCTCCATCGCCAATACCACAAGTCGATGGATAATAGCTATATTTACACCACGCATGACGGAGGGGTAATTGCGCTCGATCTCCAGGGAAACAGTGAAGCCGAAGGTGTGTTCCAGCAAAAATTTGATTCTCCAGTAGCACGTGTCTTCGACATAGCACGACCCTGGGGAGCGGACAAGAACAACCCCGAGTTGATTCTTCTCCCGCAACCACCGCCGCCGCTTGATGACGATACGGCTGCTCAGAGCCTTAGAGAGAGTAGGATCTTCCTCAACCATACCGAAGATGGTAGTTGGTTTGCCATGTCTGGTCTCAAGTATCCACTGGCTGTCCGAGAGAATGTCGGCAGGGCACAATGTACCCAGGAAGGATGGATGCAACACCATCCTCAGTGGGATATTACGGATCACTTTCAGTTGTCCAAGGCACTCGTCGGGTTGCACTCCATTGATGGACATACTGTTAGAACCCAACGGCTTGCCATATCCGGTCCGCAAGAGCAAATCATCAGAGAAGTTGCAGACCCGTATGTGATGGTGAAATTCATAACTTCTCTTCTCGGCTATTCCAGGTATCCTGGTGAAAAGTCTCGTCATCTTTCTGAAAAACTCCAAACACTCCTGATGTGGCAATTGCTAACTTGCTTTTCATGCAGGGCCGACAATACATTGGCATTGGCGAATGAGCCAACTTATTCCGAGTCTATGCGCCAGTACGGCCGGGATCTATGGCGTGACTACGTTTTGGCTCTTATCGCCAATCCGCTGATTTACATCGTGATCACCGTTTTTATCGTTTCCAACCAGCGGGAGATCCGAACAACCATTGGAAAATTTTACGCACGCATCACAAATGATAAAACCCCATCCAAATCTAAGACGCTCGACAAAGCTGTACGTGGCCTACATCTGTCTTCCTGACTGCCCCAAAACTCCTGGAGTACACTCGCTCCCAAGAAATATCTGAGAGGCGGTTACTGACTACCCGTGTCTACAGTCCAAAGTCGACAAACTGCCACAAATTCCGGAGGACAGAGTACTTCCACCTGTCGAAGGAACACCCGGTCTCCCATCAGCCACGATCCCACCCATCGAGGAGACAAAGCAAAGGTCCCGCGAATCCCCTGCAATTTCGGTTGAGAAAGAGGAAAAAACCAAAAAGGCTCACAGAGGTCGGCGGGGAGGTGTCAAGCACAAGAAAGGTCGAGCGAACTCACAAACTCCCTCCGAGGATGGTAAGACTGTTGCACGATCTCACCCAACAGTTGAAGATGCAGTCAGAAATGCTCAACAACTGGGGCAGCAAACAAAGCTCGAACCTGACATCCAGACGAAGCCGAGTCCTCCCGATGAGGTGTCTGGTCCAGTCATCCGTATTGGTGCTCTAGAAGTCAACACAGACAAGCTTATTGGCACTGGAAGTAACGGCACCCTTGTTTTCGAGGGCAACTTCGATGGTCGAGACGTCGCAGTGAAAAGAATGCTTATTCAATTCTTCGACATTGCATCACAAGAAACCAAGTTACTGAGGGAGAGTGATGATCATCCTAACGTCATCCGATATTACGCCCAGCAAAGTGCAGGAGAATTCCTATATATCGCTTTGGAACTTTGCCCTGCCTCACTAGCAGATGTCATCGACAAGCCGCAGAGAAATCGTGACCTGGCGCAAGCCGGTGAAAGAGATCTGCCAAATGTTCTTTACCAGATTACCAACGGTCTACAGCATCTGCACAAGCTCCGAATTGTCCATCGAGACTTGAAGCCTCAAAATATTTTGGTTGCCATGGGCAAAGACGGCAAACCGCGGTTACTTGTGTCTGACTTCGGGCTCTGCAAAAAGCTTGAGGGAGAGCAGTCATCGTTCCGCGCAACCACAGCACACGCTGCTGGTACTTCTGGCTGGCGTGCACCGGAACTTCTCCTGGACGACGATGCCAAGGATGGTAATACTCCTCAGGCAATGGTTGACGCCAGCACTGATGGCAACTCGGGCTCCCTCGTCCTGAACCCAGACTTGCTACCTAATCGCCGAGCTACGCGTGCGATTGACATTTTCTCACTTGGCTTGGTTTTCTTCTACGTCCTCACCAAGGGCTCTCATCCATTCGATTGTGGCGATAAGTTCATGCGTGAGGTCAATATTCGCAAGGGCTTGCACAACCTTGAACCTCTCCAAGTTCTTGGGGACTATGCCTACGAAGCTAAAGACCTGATCAATTCCATGCTAATGGCGAATCCAAAAGAACGACCTTCGGCACTTAACGTCATGGCCCATCCCTTTTTCTGGTCGCCCAAAAAACGCCTCAATTTCCTCTGTGACGTGTCTGACCACTTCGAGAAAGAACCCAGAGAGCCCCCGTCAGATGCCCTTAGAGAGTTGGAGAAACATGCCTCTGCGGTGTGCCGTCAAGATTTCCTTAGACATCTCGGCAAGGACTTTGTTGATTCGCTGGGCAAACAAAGAAAGTACACAGGAACTAGACTACTCGACTTGTTGCGCGCTCTGCGAAACAAAAAGAACCATTACGAGGATTTGAGCGATAAGTTAAAGGAGCATGTGGGCCCATTGCCGGATGGTTATCTCAGCTTTTGGACAAGAAAATTCCCGAATCTGTTAACCACTTGTTGGAATGTGGTCTACAACGTTGAGTGGGATGATACAGACCGCTTCAGAGAGTATTACTCGCCGGATTCAGGTGTTTGAAAATTTGGTCTTGAGGTGCCTCCTGTGTGGCGAGATTTGTATGTAAATTGGGATAGCTAGCACTTTTATATACCCATGAGCTTAGCGAATCAATTTTACAGTTGAACATTGGAGTCGTTCATACATATAAATACAATTGGCATCCTAAGTACAAAAACCGAGTCATCCAGTGTTGGCGGCTAATACTGTTTGGAAGGCTTGAAGCAATCCGAGAACCATAGGCGGCTGGTCTAAAGTTCGAGCGGCAACATGGTAAGGAGACTGAAATTATAAAATGGGTAGGGATCTCCGATCAGAAGAGAGAGCTGCGGTATGGCATCGAGCTCCAAACCTTCTTTTGTTATTGAGAAATAAATCTAATATATCCCTAGTGCCTCCACTATTGTTCCATAGATGTCCCCAAGGTCTTCTGTGACTCTACTACTTACGACTTTAAAACGAACCAGAGGGCCAGGGATAGCAATTCGAGGCGCATAGCTAACTATTCACTTCCATCAGATCAGCCATCAATAAGTAGAAAGCGGCAACTCGCATCTCAGTTACAGCAACCGGGCTCCTGGTAAGCATTTGCTTTGCTCCGCAACTCTGACGAACAGTATACCTTAGGTTTTTGCTTTTGTTCTGTGGGTGAAGGCTGATGAACTGCGACTGCTGGTTAACCCCTCTTCTACCAAAGGAATAGATAGAAAGCAAGCAGAACATCTCTTGACCTCCTTCTTGTCCAACAAGAGCAATCGTCCATTCATTCGTTCGTCCATTCATTCATTCATTCATTCATTAAGCTCTGCGAACTTGCGTTGCTGCTTCTCACCTTTGAGGCTTTGTTCACTGCGTTGGAAAAGCTACTACCAGCTCTCCGTTTCGCAACCAGGGACGTCCTTCTGTGAGGCCTCTACAAAACATCTCGCATTACTTTAAAGGAACCACCCACCTCTCGATCTTCACCTCAACTAGTTCCGCTACCTCTGCGAAACGCCACATAGTGTACAGTCCCACTACCCACATCCAAGATGTCTTGTAAGAGCCCCTCCAGCTTGCGGCGCAAAACAGGTCACCGGCTAACACAACCGCAGTACTGCCAGCAGAAATCGCACAGTACTCTGCCATCATCGACGACATTCTCCGAAACTGCGACCTCGCAACGATCTCTGCCAAGAAGATCCGCAAGGGCCTACAGGAAGCGCTGAACCAGGACATTTCCGACAAGAAGGTAAGCTTCCTCCCGCCCCCTCCTACCCGGTCTTCACCGTCACCTTCACCTTCTGCCGGCCCACGAGCATAGCCAACATCCCAATTGCAGGAACAAGTCAGCGCCCTGATTCTCCGACGATTCGACCACTTCGAAGCCCTCACCAAATCCTCGCCCCCGCCGGCTGCAACCCCCACCGGCGCGATCAAGAGCGAGGCCGTGAAGCACGAAAGCACAAGCCCCAGGTCTTCCCGCTCCCCCAAATCCGAGCCCCGGTCGGACTCGGAGGACGCGCCGCCACCCAAGAAGAAGCGGAAACAGGCTGCTGCTGGGGGCCAGAACGACGACGCGAAGCTCGCGGCGAGGCTGCAGGCGCAGGAGAACCGGAGCACGCGAGCAACCCGCGGGGGCGCGGCTGCTAAGAAGGTTGTGAAGAAGGCCAAGAAGCCGAGGAAGAAGAGCGAGAAGAAGATTGCGAAGGAGGACGATAGCGAGTTGGAGATTGGCAGCGATGGGGAGGTCAAGGAGAAGCCGAAGAAGGGAGGCTTTCATAAGCAGTATTCTCTGAGTGCGCCGCTGGCGAACGTGATTGGGGAGCCGACGGTATGTATTTTTCTTCTTCTTCTTCTTCGATTTCTCGCCATACTCGAGATATATATATATTTTATATCTCATTTTTATATTTTATACTTACTCCCGGGGACTGCATCTCTCTCCATCTTGGTTTTGGGCTCTGGATCCCGGCTTCTCCTGAGCTAGCTAACGAGGAACGAACGCAGCTCTCGAGACCGCAGGTAGTCAAGAAGATCTGGGAGTACATCAAGGCGCGGGATCTGCAGGATCCGGCCGACAAACGCCAGATCCTCTGCGACGACAAGCTGCAGATGGTGTTCAAGACGGAGAAGGTGCACATGTTCACCATGAACAAGATCTTGAGCAAGCAGCTATATGATGTCGAGGAATAGGACCGTCCTCTTGACCTTGATCGATTGCGGATATGGGTGGCATGTTGATGGGGGAGGGACACGGGCATGGCTGGAGGGGCATACAGGACTTGGAGTCATGGGGTGTCAAGGTGGTTTTCGGGCGGTTCATCGGTAGCAGTGCATACGGCGTGATGGATAGGGACGCGATCTGGGTGGAATTGGTTAGGGGAGGAGTACCAGGAACACCATGGTAGAATGGATACTTTCACCAGCTTGGTGCAAAATGCTTAATGATATTGGAGCGTTGCTCTTTGGACTTTTTCAACGTAAGGAATAGATATGCATTTGGGTGTCAGAACAAATTTTACTTGGAAATTTACGTCGTTCTTTTCGGAGAGTGGCAATTGTATTATAAAGAATGTATGACTCTTCTTTTTATCATAAGCCTGTCAGCTTCGTTGCGACGCCACGGACAGCTCTCTGAAATACACGCACTAGTCCTACTTGCGCGTTGGATTGCGAACCACCATGATGAAATTGCGAGCCCCCAGGGTCTCCTTGATATCCGCTAAAACGGCCTCGATAGGAGTTACACAGGTCACGAGTGTTTGAAAACAGTCTCCCCACATCATGCCAACCACCGCACCGTCAATGTCCCAAACGAGAGCCCCAGAATCGCCCTTCAGCGAAAATCTAGATCCGCTAGGCGCATCTTTGATGTGCCATTCATCTGACTTGGTAATACCATCGCCCCATAGATAATCGGATGCTATAGCCCCCGTCATGCCCGACGTGAAATAGGTCGACCGGCCGTACTTCCACACAATGTGATTCTTATAGACTTCATCGGCATGTCTTGTTTCTCCAGTATATCGTGCCTTGAAAGATGATTGCCGAGGTATTCGGGCACGTCATCTACATCCTTCGGGCGGCTTTCATAACTAGTTTTTCCAGCGGTTTTGACATAGCTGGTAATGCTTGTATGCAGGAGATTTTCGCATTGAGAGCCCTTAGACACGTTAATAAACAGCCATTGATGTTACAATGAAGAAGGATTTACACACCTGGTTTACGAGGAGCGATCGATCCGGACAACAGTTATTTTGATCCACATTGATCAGGGCCCAGTCGACTCGATGCCTTCGGCTGGGGCGAGCTCGAGAAACACGAATACCAGATGAGCTCTGCACGCTCCCCAGCTCTCTCGCGTCACTAGAACCCAGGACGGGACTCGCATGCACTTTTCTGCCCTGTTGATAGCAGAGTTTTATTCAAGCAACATCCGCGTCATATCACCTTCAGAAGGCTGATCGAGAATCACCTCGGGTTCTGTGAGAGGATTGTATACGTGCATGCGGTCGCCGCCAAAGATCGCGCGGTGTTTCGTGAGCCCGTACACACTGCCGTCTATATCAACAGATCCGGCAAGGGTGGCCGTTCCGAAAAATTTCCGTCGTTATGCGTGCTTTATACGATTGATGCGCCGGCTAGAGGATAGTTTGTCGGTACGAACAAATCTTGGGTCCTGCTTCCTGGGTTGTCATCATCTGCTCGATGTGCTGGACCTTCGGATCGGATTCCTTCCATCATTTCGACCTCCAGCCCAGGCAGTCCGACTCTGGAACATATTAGTCTTGCTTATTTGCTTGATACACAATCAATGGGACTTACTTTACGCATTCTTCCTTGATGACATCCACCACTCTTTGAGCCTCAGCGGTCGCGGTGTGATCCTTCTCGGCTGTAATTAATACCACTGCCGGGCTTTCCAATTCAATGTGGTTGCGGCCTAATCGAAGATAATCGACCGAAGTCCACGTAACGGGCTTCTTGGTCATCAAGATAGCAACAATCGATTCGCGAAGCCCTTTTCCCAAGGCTTGCTTTATGACACGGTCCTTCGAGACAAAATGAAGCATAGGTGTCGGACCCCTAAACCCGCTATCGTCGGGATCTGTGACGATGGTTGCAGGCCGGGGGATCTTGCTGCTCCTTGCTAATAGCTGCGGCATTCCAGGCAGTCCATAGTAGTAGCTGGAGAAATCAGACATATTTGAAGAATTTTGGGAGTCGAATGTGGAGGAGTTGAATATCGATGCATTCGTCGCAGTCGAGGTGGCAGATTGAGTGGTAAAAGTAGTGTCCATGGATGTGGTTGAGTTTTTGGGAAGGCGCTACTGACGCGCTTGTGCTTTCCGTATGGGGATCCATTTTATCGGGAAGCTACGTGCGTACCGTGCTTGGGACGGGAGTGTGATGATACTGTGAGCTGCTCAGTATTTGAGAGGTTGAAGTTGAGTTTGAAGTTGAAGTTGAAGTTGTGGTTCAGGTTACAATCGTCGGCTAAGACTGAAAGGATGAAGGGAGCCCTACCTCCCACCTAAGCGAGCCGACGATGATGGAAAAAGTTGCCTTAATCACATGGTCCGTGCAGCATAGCCCCCCACCTTCACCTTAGTCACCACGCGCGGAGATTAATTTATAATTAATTATGTAATCCTATTCTACGAAAGCAGAATGCCGTAAAGGGATTCAAAGATTGCAAAAGGTTTAAAGGCTTCTTAGGTTTCAACAGCTACAAAGGTTCTATATGTTCTCAATGTTTCAAAAGCTTTTCGAATTTCAAAGATTCCAAAAGCTCTAAAGACTTCAAAGGCTTCAAATGCCTGAAAGACTTCGAAGATTTGTGGTGCGAGATCTCGGAATATATATGTAGTGCAGCACGGGACAGGGTGTCAGGACTCAGCAAGGTACCTACCGGTAGTACGGAGACAAGCTTAGCTACTTAGCCGAACATCATTCTTTTACCACGTCAACTACACCACGCCAGCTTCACAATAGGAAAACTGCACTCTGAGATCAAGGAACTCCCAGATACGTCGAAGAAACTAGAATTAAAACACTACGGCCTCCGAGATGTCTGCGCGCGCACCAGCACAGAATGGAGGAGGGGCCACCACGGATCTACCTTCCAGACCCAGAGGAGGCGGCCGAGGAAGATCTCAAGGCCGGGGGCGGGGACGAGGCAGAGGCGGAAACATGAATGATGGAGAGAACCCCCAGCACAATCCAGGGGGGGCTCGGAAAGGAGGACGCGGAGGCCAGAACCAGAACCAGAACGGCGGCCAGAGGATGGGAGCAGCTGTTGCCCTTGCAGATGCCAACCCGAGACCAAGTCCTACGGACCCGGCGCAACTTGCTGCCAGATACAAGCGGCCGGAAGCTGCAGAGGGGAAGAATGGCGAGGAGGGTGTCGATGCTGAGGTCTGCTTTATCTGCGCGAGTGAGATCGAGCATGAGAGTATTGCGCCTTGTAACCATCGGACGTGCCATATTTGCTGCTTGCGGATGAGAGCGCTGTATAAGGATCAGAACTGTGCTCATTGTCGGGTACTTTGCCGTCATCCGAGAGCCCAAGTTCAATGCTAATGCTTCAACAGACGCCTGCGCCTTTTGTGGTTTTTACGAACGACAAGACAAAGCGGTATGAGGACTTTACGGACGCTGATATTGCCAGCGTGGACAAAATCAATGGCATCCGTTATGAAAGTACTGAGATCGAGGGCGATACTACGCTGCTACTGCGATTCAATTGTCCGGATGAGATCTGCGATGTGGCGTGTATCAGCTGGCCAGATCTGCACCGCCATGTGAGGGTAGCTCATAAGAAGAAGATATGTGATCTGTGTTCCAAGCATAAAAAGATCTTTACGCATGAGCACGAACTTTACACGGACGCTGAGCTATCCAAGCACATGAAGAACGGAGACGACAATCCAGGAGCGGTCGATCAGAGTGGCTTCAAAGGACATCCGCTGTGTTCCTTTTGTGGGACGAGATTTTATAGTGATGATGAGCTCTTTGTTCATTGCAGAAATTCTCACGAGAAGTGTCACGTCTGTGATGAGCGAAGTGGTGGCGTGCCGCAGTATTTCCTCAACTATGAGGCTGTTTATGCTCATATGGTTAAGGACCATTATGTATGCAGAGAACCCGAGTGTCTTGAGAAGAAGTTCATTGCTTTTGCTTCCGAGATGGATCTGAAGGGTCATCAGTTAGAGGAACATGCAAATTCGCTGTCGAAGGATGTCCGGAGAGATGCTAGGACTGTGGATATCTCGTCTTTCGATTACAGGGCACCTTATGTTGAGGCGAGGAGGGGAGGTGGAAGTCAACGAGAGCAGAGAGAAGGAAGAGGACGCGGGAGAGGGAGAGATCCGAACGCGGAGCCTATACCTGCATCGAGTGCTCAACCTTTGCGGAGAGATGAGCAAGCATTCCAGCGACAGATGGCTATCCAGAGTGCTCAGTCTATTACACCGCGCACCTTTGGAGGCCAATTGACTGCCAATCCGACACCTGCTCAATCTCGAGCACCAGCGCCTGCAGCGATGACCGTACCACCACCATCTAGGAACGTGGAAGCTGCAGTTCGGGCCACCAGCACCCCAGACACTCCTCAAGCCGGCACGACACCCCAAGAGCACGCTCGCGCCGCTCGACATAGTGCTGTCATCGAACGAGCATCTACCCTACTCCAAAGCAATACCAACAAACTTTCTCAATTCCGCAACTTCATCTCCTCTTTCCAGAAGAACGCTATCGCGGCCCCAGCTCTCATCGACTCCTTTTTCGCCCTCTTTTCAGACACACCACCTTCCGCCCTTGGTACCCTCATTCGAGAAGTCGCAGATCTCTTCGAGGACCCTGCCAAAGCTGCCGCTATTCGCGCAGCTCACAGTAGTTGGCGTGCCGTCAACGAAGACTACCCCTCCTTACCAGCTGCAAGCAGCAGTGGCGGCGGCTCTATACCACTCAACTGGGCCGTAACGACACCCAGCACTTCCTCCTCCGCAAAGCCCAAAACTAGTCGAGTACTAAAGCTTAAGTCTTCAACAGCCCAGTCATCACGCTCCTCTGTCTCGCAAAATAGGTCATGGGGCACAGCTTCCAAAGCTTCTTCCTCAACGGCAGCAGCTTCAGCTTCTAGCTCGAACCCGTTCCCGGGCCTACCTTCCGCGGCAGCGAGGCCCAGCGCGCCTACTAGGACGGTCTCGACTGTCTCTTGGGCAGCGTCTTCTTCGTCGTCTGGGCCTGCGAGACCGACACCGCCGACGAGTAGACCAGTGAGTAGGAATGTCGGTAAGGGAGATAGTAGCGCGTTCCCCGCACTGCCGGCGGCTGCTAAGCCTATGAGCTCGATCTTTGGGTATGGGAGTGGCATGGTGAGGAGGGATGCTGGCATGGGGCCGAGCAGTAATGCGTGGAGTGCTAGTAGCGATGCGAGTGCGAGTGGAAGTGGAAGTGGAAGTGGCAGTGGGAATATGGTTGAGACGGAGCAGGGTGAAGAGGTGGGCGGGAAGGGGAAGAAGAAGGGGAACAAGGGGAAGAAGGTTATGCTTTACAACTGGGGCTAAGAGGGTGTGCGATGAGGATTACGCATATGATTAGGGAGTGGGGTAAAGGTAGATTTTTGTGTGGGATGAGCGGATGTGATTGATACCATGACGATGACCACATGAAAAGCGAATTTGAGAAGTTTGGTGTCGGCGGGGAAGCGAGCGTGCGCTGTGCATATTAGAGAGAAAGATATATCCGGTGGTTCGTGTAGAGCGGCATGGGTAGATATTGACTTTTTCCTCCCTCTCTTTCTCCTTCCCGAGCTGTTCTCTTTCTTCTCCTGTTCTGTCTTAAGTATCAGGCATCCTCAGCTGGGTCACGAAAACGCAGGCCTGAGAAGGGCATTAAGTGTGATATCTATCCTGTGTGAGGTGGAAAGGAAGCTGGTCCTAAGGACGCTGACAATCCTCCCGGATGGTACGGTACAGAAGTTGTGCGGGTGTGCCTGAGAGGCTTTGGATGTTTGAATTGGATTGAATTGGATTGGATTGGATTGGATTGGATTGGATGGCTTGGACGTCAGATGAAATAGCTAGCCGTTGTGGGGGTTGTAGCAAAGGCGAGGGGTTCTCTAACAAGTACCTACCTACTCTACTTGCCTACCTACACCCTGAACTCTTTCGTTTGAGGGGGACCTTCCTACTTCGAGTCTTTGACCAACCAAATCGGTCACGGTACTCTTGAATGCGTCCTCACGGAACCACGTCCCCACAACACCACCACACTGCACACTGACTGCACACTGGCAACAACGTCGCGTCGACAGCAAGGCTGCCATACATTCATTTCACGAAAAGGAGAGAAGTTAGAAAAAAGGAAAAGGACGCAAAGATAGAATGGTAGGGCCCCCCCCGCCAGCTCCACCTCCGCCTCCAGAAGGAAAGGGCGCGCACTCACTCACTCACTCACTTTCTCACTTACTCACTTACTCACTCACTCACTCACTTACTCATTTTCTCTCTCTCTCACAGGCGCCCAAGAACCTCCCGCCGGCGGCCAAGCAGGCCAAGATCCTCGCCTACTTCCAGGAGTCGATGTCGGTGTTCACGCTCAAGGAGCTCGAGAAGAACATCGCGGCAGTGGCCTCGGTCAACCAGATGCAGGTCAAGGAGTACCTGCAGGCGATCCAGGACGAGAACCTGATCCGCGTGGAGAAGATCGGCAGCGGCAACTGGTACTGGTGCTTCACGTCCGACGCGAAGATGGGCAAGGAGCGGATGCTGGCGAAGCTGAGCGCGGAGGAGGAGGGCTTGCTGGGCGCCGTGAGGGAGCTGGAGGCTGTCATTGAGGCGGAGGTGCGCGCGCGTGAGGATGGAGATGGGGAGTGGGATGGGGATGGGCAGGGAGAGGGCGTGGATCGGAAGTCGTTGTTGGAGATGCATGCGAGGTTGATGGGGGAGATGGAGGGGTTGGATAGGGCGTTGGCAGCTTATAGCGATCATGATCCCGAGGAGGTCATGCGCAAGGCGCTGGAGGTAAAGCGGTTGAGGGAGAGCGCCGTGAGGTGGACGGATAACCTGGAGTCGCTGGAGTCGTTTCTGCATGGGCTTACGGATCGGGAGAGGGTGACTAGTATCATGGAGGCGGCGTGTGGTGCTGAGTATGTTGCTGGAGAGGGATTGACGGATCTGTGATGGATGTGTGGCTGGTGGTTTGCTCAGATGGGTGATGAGGATGGAGGATGGGTGACGAATATCGCGAGAGGGGACTTCTTGATCTGGCTTGCCATACATACTGGCTTTGGTCTATTGACCAGGTGGTCTCTTCTATTGTTACTTACTAGCCGACATGTACGATATCTGATGGCTTAATCAAGCGTCCTCGACTGCAATAGGCCTCCTGGCTTTTGCAAAGCTCAAATTCAATACCCGGTTCGCAAGAACATTTTAGTTCTTGACGTCCGATAGGAGCGTCATGCTGTGGTGAGACAGTGTGCTTCGCTACATGCAATGCGTTCGTCGGGTCAGACGCCGAGGAAGATGATTGGGCAATGCCCAAGATGCGAGCATCGGGATCTACCCAGGGAGCAATGTCGAGCAAGCAATGCAGAGACTCGAGAGCAAAGCAGACAAGAAACCGTTCACCCGTCCGGATATCATCAAGCTTTCTCTTCTCAGAGCCAAGCTCAGAGTTCTTATCCGGTCTGATTGATACAAAAAAACAAAGCTTGTCTTGGGGAAGAGATGGGAGGGACAGAGGGTGGTTGTGACGGGTAGCTGGGTTGGGAGCCCGGGGCGAAAAAGGAGCAGCACAGTGAGCGGAAGCTTTTCGCTTGAGCTAGCTATCACGCAGGGCCAGCAAATTCATCAATCAATAGTACCAGGAACATATCGAGCTTCAGTTCGGTTCAAGTGGATTTGATCCGGAGAATCAAGATGGAAAGACGGCACCGAGCCATACGAGCCATACGAGAAGTACGGCACTGTGTAGATCAACCGGGGAGCTTGAAATGACAAGCTCTCTCTGTTTGTTAATTCCCGTGCTTGCCGCGGAAAGAAAGAAAGCTTCAAAATCTGCGGCATTTTTTATACTTTTTTTCCTACTTATTATACGTAGTACCACGTCACAGGCGGAAGTCTTACACCCTGAGGGTAGGGTCACCAGGGGGTTTCAGTGGAGATGAATCCTTTTGAGGCCCCCTCAGTGGCTCACTACCCCCAGGCTGTAACACTTTACTTTTTTTTATCCTTTTTCTTTTCTTGACTGTTTACTTTTGGAGAGTGGCCAAGTCGTAATCCGGCTATTGTTATACGTAGTACGTAGTACGTATCCGAGCAGAGCGCGGTGGTGCTTGGTTGCGTCCCATTGTCTTCTTCCACGTAGCTATCTTTCACTTCCTCACCGTTCTCTCTGACCGATTATTCGCCTGTCCTACGTCGGGCCTGCCGGGCTACTTTACTCTCGGTCTCTTTCTTCGCATACCCGTTTTTTCTTTTTCTTTCGGCTAATCTTTCTTGTAATCTTGGTACGAGGCTTTTATTGATGTGAAAGTCTATCTGGATCTAAAAAGTCTTGAGAGTTGAAGGGTTGTGCCCGGCAGCCAGGGTCGTCTGACTGCTGTTGAGTGGAATGAAAGCTTGCGCATCCCGTACAGCTTCGTACAGTACCGGTACCTACTCCATGTGAAAGGCGCAGCCACGATCCCCTGTCGGTCGATACTGTATGCCGGACACAGGATTCCGACAACATCAACAACATCATCAACAACGACAACAACAACATCAACAACAATAACCGATCGCTCCCCACATCATTTTAATCGCCCAGGGGCCGCAGTCAAGTCATTGGCAAGAAGTGAACCAAGTACCTAGCTAATGATAAATACCAAGTACATATCTACCTACTTGATTACCTACTTGATAGCTTATTCGTGTTTCGTTGTATCAGTTCAGACTTCAGACAAACAATCCAAACACGGCGCGTTTCGACTTCATCTCGGATTCAAACCCGATCCAGGCGAGACCTCGACCGGACGGTTGGGCGGCTTCATTTTGACTTTTGATACAAGTTTGGGGGTGGTCGTCGAGTCGACTCGAACGCTTGTCTCTCTCTACCTCACCTATCCTATCCAATCCTATCCTATCCTATCCTATCCATCGATCCTCATCTCTCCATCTCTTGCTCCCTCTGCTACTTACTGCTCACTATACTACCTACTCACACTTACCATACGCCGCGGCCCGTCCCCGACTACTGTTTGCCCTGCATCTCGAAGCTATCTCCAATCCATAGTCTGGCGCCCGCCACATCCTGGGCCAATGCAGTATTAACTTTTGCACCGACACAGCCCTCTCCTCCCCTCCTCTTCCTCTGCCTCTCCTCCTCCTCCCTTCACCTCCTCCTCTTTATCCTCTTCCTAAACTTTACATTCCATTACATCATTGCCACCTGGGTATAGAATAAACGTCACACTTCGACGATCCACGATACCGCCGCACTGCATGTTCGCGGCGCTGGTCGAAACCTCAGCCCTGGCTTGACCGGTCCAGCTTGGCCAGTGCAGCCATAATCCCATTCACAATCATACTCACCGTCACACAAACCTACAGCCAGCGCCCAGCGCGTCTGCCAATACGGACGTCTACATGTGACCCCGTCGTCGAGGTCTCCCGCAAAGTAGGTACTTGGCGCTCACGACCACCTCTTGGCGATAAGAACCTCCACGGAACTTCTTCTACTCCTTGATATGTGCGCAAATGTTACCCCCTCGACTCCGACGTCGCTGTCGCCGTTACCATCGACGATAGGTCGCTCGCTGCTGTCGAGGATAACCGCGCCGCTAAAGTCGCGTACGAGAAACCTCACCGAGTTCCACATCCGCCCGGACGAGCCCCATCGGAAATACTCCCCCGGGGATGTGGTAAGGGGAGCTGTCGTGCTCACCGTTGTCAAACCGATACGCCTTACCCATCTTACCGTATGCCTCCACGGCTACGTCCGAGTCTTCAAGAGCCCCAATGGCGCGAACGACCCGGTGCCCGATCTCGGCTTGACGGCCTCCAACAACCCGCGAAAATCCCAATACTTTGGCAACGGCCACGCCTCCCTATTCCAAGATGAGATTACACTCTGTGGAGAGGGGCGACTCGACACTGGGGTATATGAGTTTAATTTTGAGCTGGAATTTCCCAAGAAGCGGCTTCCCTCGAGTGTCGATGTATGGCTTGGGAACCCCCCTCTGGCACTTCAACTAGCTAATGATTGCCGTAGTTCGAGAGAGGCACCATCACCTACCTGATCACTTCCACGATTACGCGCCCTACATCGATCACTCCAACCTCGAGTTGCGACCAAAAGCTTTCGCTTGTTGAGACGGTTGATATTGGACCCATGCAGCCACCCAAGCCCCAGAAGATTTCCCTGGAACCAATATCGCGGCGCGTCAGGAGGAGAAAGACTGCGAAGTCAAAAGAGAACGGTTCTCATGAGAATACCGAGCAGGGTGCCAGCTCTGGAAGCGATGCACCACGCGTGCCAACCTCCCCGCTCCCCGATGATTCTGCGAGCCAATGCGGATCGGCGGACCAGCAGAACGTAAGCCCTCGGAGCCCGGTCCCGAGTGACATACAAAGCACGGTGTCCGCGGGGAACAGCGGTGGAAGTACAGTGAGCAGTAGCACAGGGCTCAGCTTCAGGCTGGGCACGGCGCCTGCATCTACGAGGTCAACGCAAGAAGGCCGCAGGGATAGCAGCAAATTGTCTCTCGAGGATCAGACTATCACTGCCACCATCGAACTTCTGAAGTCGGGCTGTTTACCCGGCGATAACCTTCCACTGAAAATTTCCATAAGGCATACGAAGCCTTTGAAAAGCATGCATGGAATCATTATTACGTTTTACAGACAAGGCAGAATCGATTCGGCGCCCCCTCTATATCTTTTCGCGGATATCAAGGGTAAAGAGGCTGAGAGGCTGAAGCACGAGGAATACTACCCCAAATCCAAAACGGGGCTGGGCGGGCTCTCCTTGTCGTCCGCAGGATCGAGCAGTATGTTCCGAAAGGATCTGTCCCAAACGTTCGCTCCTATTCTGGTTGATCCCACGACTTTGACAGCAGTAGTCAACGCTTCAGTCAGAGTTCCAGAGGATGTCTTTCCCACCATATGCGGTGTTCCTGGGCAGATGATCACTTTCAAATACCATGTTGAAGTTGTGGTTGATATGGGTGGTAAGCTGGCCGGTCAGCAGCGGCATGTTCCTCGAGTTGGAGCTGTTGCCCTACCCTCATCGACTTTCTCAGCAGGGCCGCCCAGAGATGTTAATCCTAATATTCTGGCGGCGTGGGGTGGGAGTATTGTTGATACGGCGAATATCAGGCGAGAAAAGAGTGTCGTTGAATGTCGCTTCGAAGTTGTCGTGGGAACGAAAGATACGGCTCGTAAGCGACTCAGGGGCAACAGCTTCGTCAGGAGACCAACACTCGACCCTTCGGATGAGCCTGTTTCAACGCGTGAACCTATCTATGAAGAGTCTGTGGCGGCGGTCGATCAGCACAACCCTCGGCAAGCTCCCCATCCGTACCCCTATTATGATCGGCCTCCGGACCATCCACACCCAGATCCGCAGTCCGGTTATTTCGTTCACAAAGACTACGACTTCCAAGACTGTTATCCACCTCTTCGACATGACCAGATCCATGTTCCACCACCAGACATGCAAGCTGATGGAGCTGTTGGCGAGAAAGAGCGATTACGTCGGCATGAGGAGAGACTCCTTCCTAGTCAACCTCCAACTGACGAAAGTGGCCCTTCATCGTCAAGGACAGTCGTGCCTCCACTAGCACCATCAGTCCCCCCTACAGATGACGAGGAAGACTTGTACGGTCCCGACGATGCAACTTCTCAGGAAGCATCACGGGGTCTCCTTCCCCCTGGATTCCTCGCCCCTGCAGAATCTGCTAGTGGTGCCTCTGCGCCTTCCCTTGCCGACTTTGGTCCAGCTGCCAGCGCCAACCAGAACGAGGACAAGCAAGAGCTTGAACGGCGACGGCTGATGGACGAAGCGAGCGCGCCACCCGTGTTCACCGCCGACGAAGATGACGACGCGGGCGAGGGAAGCAGCAGTCGGTCACAGCACGAGCCGTCTGCGCCCCCTATCTTGGATGACCACGAGTACGGGCATCATTACTCGCATCATATTCTACCGGAATCTTCGTTCCGGCTCGAGATGTTGCCGAAGTATGAGCGGTGATTGTGTTTGGGCGTAAACAGGAGTAAGTCGATTGGAATTTTAGGGGAGCTGTGAGGAACCGTGTAAATAGATGGAGAGAATAGTTTTTTTAATGAGATACCCCCCGAACGTCCCCCCCCCCCTTTCCCTCCCCACTTCTTGATGCTATCTATCTACTTTCTTGCTATTGTGAGATTTGCACGTTCTTGGTTTCGTATCACCTATGGCTTTATAGCGGATGCAGATTTCGATGGCTCTCTTGATTATATGTTGACTGATTAATTAATTGCTCGAATTAAACTTTTTATTTTTCGTCTCCGAAGTAACGGGAATGTTATTGCCCATCTCGCTTCCCATCCATCGCCTACCATCCATCCATCCATCCACCTCCAGGACCTTCCCCTCTCACGAGTACGCGTTCCCAGAAGATCCGGCAGACGAGGCAGAGCGCAGGGAAGATTCCCCATTGTAAGCGTGCCCTTTTGGTCGGAGGATAAAGGACAAAGTACAAGTCCGAGGCGGAGGCAGAGGCAGAGGTAGAGGCAGGGGTTGCGGTTCCTAGTACGCTTTGGTAGTACGGTCCGTTATTCGGGTAATGTGGTCGGCTCTTTGAGTTGTTCTCTTGGTATATATGTATATAATTTTCTGATTTTCTAATTTTGCGATTCCCCTATTCTCCAATCAAAGCCTTAAAGAAACACCCACCCACCGACAAGAACTTCCATTACAACCATCCTTCCTTTGCGGACGGACGGCCGGGACCTGATTCCTGAGCTCGCTTGCAGTGCAGCATCGAGAAGGAAACGAAACTGCGCCGGATTGCATCGATGATTCATCGGAAGTGATCGTAGGACTTGACATCGCAACTTCTAGGCCCCTTTTCTAAAGTGGGCGAAGAAAAAAAATTAGACTCTTCGAAAGAATCACATCCTCCGTCGGATTGATCTCAATATCTGTTTTCTTAATCTTTCTCGTAGTGAGTGTATTATGAGCTTGAGGATGAAAATAATTGATGTTATATTAATATACGATTGCACAGATTTCGTGATTCAGTTTTTGATATCTTGATATGATTTGGTTACCGTGTTATTAGGATTCTAATATACTATTCATTTGGTGGAAAGATTCGCTTGCATTATACATATATATATATATATATATAATTTCTTGTAGCTTGATTTTTTAGATTCGTATAATTAAAATCGTTAAAAAGCATCGCAAACTTATATTTCTTTCCATTCTACGCTTAGCAACGTAAATAGACACATGGAAGTTCAATATTTCGATACTATACGAATATACGGACTCTGTTGTATAGTCTCTATGCTCATAGCTTTAATATCCGTTGAAGATGCACGCGGTCGAAATCGTTTGAAATGGTGATAAAAGCTCTTGTAAATCCATGTGATTTTTTTTTCTTTTGCTAAGCTATGTAATACAAATGGGTATGCAAAACTCTAATATGTCGATACTTTGCGAAGATATATATATATATATATATATATATATTGATGTAATCGTCGGTTATGTTGAATTTAATTTGTGAAAAAACCCCGACCTGCGCTGCTTTGTCGGCACCACCAAGGCGGGACAGTAACGGTACACCACTTATTAAACAACAACTATTAATATAAATAAGAAAAAAATAACAGGTATGCTCAGAAAAATATGCTTCACAGACGTGAACTAAGAAAATAAAGATGCATTCATTTGGAGTAACTTGATAATTTAAAATGTAGTAAAAATATAGCTGAAAACTGTCCCAAATAATCTAATTTTACTTGTCTGCTTCGGAAATCTCAATTGCCATAACCTTAACTAAAATAAACGCCTTATAAGTAGATCGAAAATAAATGATCTAATTTATGATATCATCAAAGTTACTAATTATTAAATTAAAGTTGATAGTGATGCACGTGTTCTTTTGATAGGTTTGAATCAAAGTCCGATTTTGGCGTTCCTCGCTTATTCTATTATTTACATAGCAATTCTGATATACCCACGGTACAGGCCTAAGTATTACCCTTCGAGGGTGCCTTAAAAGTTTAGTTTCCATTATGAACCCCCTGATTACCCTACCCTCGAGGGGTAATACTTACGCCTGGGACGTAGTATACGCACCAGTAAGGTCGAAAAGTATAAAGAAAAGTACACCAAAAGTACTATCTTTACTACTTTAGCCCAGCATAATAAAAGAATAACAATCTGTAATTAGAATTTGATTCATTGATTAGTATCAAACTCAATACTTTGCATCCTTCTATACAAAAATAATTACGATATGATAGTTGGTTGATCTTCTATTCATTATAGCGGAGCAAATTCTACTGTCCCGCCTTGGTGGTGCCGACTTGCTACAGCAAGTCGGTCCATTCTGTCGAATTGAATTTAAGGGAACCGACGATTAGCTTTAACATTCATCACGATGCATGCGATTAAAATCAGAATCTGTATCAAATTCCCGCTTGGTTTTTGCTGGTATTTAACGGGGAACAGACTTCTTTCGCGGGACTACAATTCTCTCGCCTACTTTACGGAAGGGGAGGGCCTCAAAAGTTGGCCACGTCAAGTCCCGATGTTAAATCGTCGGTTACCTTGAATTTCAACCTGTGAAAAAATCACCAGCCCGGGACAGTCGTAACTTTTGCCCTCCGAACCCCGATGTAAAATCAACCACTGATCATATCGTAACCATGTTTACAGGAAAAGATGCAGCGGATTGTGTTTGGTAACCATGGTGTTGGTTTTTGCCGGTAATAGCAAACGTTAAATGAATCAAGCTTCTTCTGTGTACTTGCAACAGGAAAAATAAGGTTTCTTTCAGCACTGAAAATGGATCATTCTTCTAGATTCATCTCTCTAACTAAGAATGTACTCCCTTTAAAGGAATATACAATTTCTAGGTACTGAATACATCAAGGGGGGTTGGGGATCTCGGAAGCTGAGGCTCTGAGAGGGCTGTGTATCTCGGAAGGTGAGGCTCCGAGACAAAAGTAGTCCAAGGTATTTACTTCGCGTAACAGTAAATACTAAAGGGGTAATTGATTTACCAGTGTAAGCAATCAATCGATCCCCACTATTACTCTACTCTCTTGACTCGTAGTTTAATGACCCGTAATTGAATAACTTATAGTTCAATAAGTAAGGAACCGACATATGGATTTATGCAATTTCCATCGTATGTAGTTTTAATGTTATCGTGCTGGGTTAAAGTAATGAAAGTGGTGCTTCTGGTGTACTTTTATCGTACGTAGTACGTACAGTAGTACATTTCGATTCCATTGGCCCGTGCGCTGATGAGATTTGGCGTGGCCCAAACCTTCAACCTCATTGAAATCGCTCGAGTATGAGTATTCTAGACCCTACTACTACCTCACAGGCAGGCAAGAGGTTATTTAAACGGTCAGCTCATCATCCCATGACGATCTCTTTCAAGGACGGTCCCAAGAGGTTGGCATGGCTGGTGGATCACCCCAAGTCTATAGCTACCTAGCTGAATTATAGTCAGACCTGTACCGGTAATTCGGCGGGTTTAAACAATTTCAATTATTCTTGATACGATACCGATTTGATCGATTGAATCCTCTCTCATGAGGGTCCTTTTTTTTTTTCGTAAAAAGATTGTTATCAAAAGAAGGCCGTTTTGATCGATTGAAATCGTTGTTCATAGAGAAAAAGTCGGTCTTCTTACGAATAGACCATCCTGGGACCGTTTTTTGAAACCGTTTTGGGACCGTCCTTGAAAACTCTGATTAGTAAGCAATTGAGAAATAAAATATGCCCTTCAGCTCCTGGCTCTCCCTTCCTTCTTCTCCTTCATCTACCTCCCCGCCACCCCCGACGTATGGTAACACGACTGTGGCACGTTGAAATTTTGCTGAATCGATCAATCCCGATTTTGAATTTATCAAAGCGCTGATAGATGAGCCGTGGCAGCGATACCGAGGAAACATCCTAGCATAGATCTCGGCTTCGTCAGCAGTATTTTCAAACCAATCCGTATTAAATTAGTCGGGAAGTACAGACGGGTTACTAGAATGTTTTAATCGTAAACCATTTCGAAAATCAGGACGGGGACGACTATAGGGCGGGGACGGCTATAGGACGGCCAGGAAACGGTCCCTCTTAATTATACGGTCGGGGACGGTCTATTCGGTAAGCTGTTCCTGAACAGAGCTTAGCACTGAATCTAAGCGGTCTACTAACCGCCTCTTATAAAAGAGGGTCAGAGGACCGCTGAAATGACCCTATACTTGCCTTTAAGATAAGATAGCGCCTTCTCTTGCTCCTTGACTTCCATCAACGCTATTATGAAGCTCAGGATCGCTATTACACGACGCTGAACCACCCTCGCTTCTCTCTTTATGGCTTTCATCTTCATCGTCTTCAAGAGTCGATCACAATGAATGGGCTGGGCGCTTGGCTGTCGAGCTCGAGAAGGGTGTTGTTTATTGACTTCGCTTAGTCGGCGCACGCACGGACTTATATCATCAAAAGGTACCTCAAGAAGTACCTCAAGAGTATCACTTTTACTACTTCAGTACGATACGATACGTATTGAAACGACACATGTAAATTCAAAATTGTGTGAGTACGTTGTGGGAGAACTTAATACGCTGCATTTTCTTTTCATGCGGAAAGAATTGCGATGTGGTAAGTGGTTGGATTTATGTCGAGTTTATAAGGGTAAAAGTTACTATCCCACTTGCGCCAGGTCGGGTTTGGTTTTTTTTACATTAATTGTCAATGCCACCGACGATCAGAGGCTTATTTTTCGAGCTAATTTTGGTTGCGTATTAATTAGTGAGGGGGTTTTTGGTGTGGCGTGTGGGGGTTCTGGTTTTGTTGGAGTTGAATTGAGTTGAGCTGAGTTGTGGGCTGGGAGGGGAGGTTTATTACGTAAGTATATTGAACGAGTACTAGTAATTGAGTTGAGCTGAGTTGTGGGCTGGGAGGGGAGGTTTATTATATTGAATAAGTACTAGTACTATACTTGCAGTGTAGAAGGGCGGAAGAGTAGTACAATTAGAGAGTGATTGGTTGATACTTCGTAAGTAACTTACCGACGAAGTATATTGGAATGGAACGGAATGGAAAATGGGATATGGAGATGAGTTGGATCGAACGAAATACTTCGTTGGGGGGAGGTTTGAGACGTACAGCGTCCCATCATTCCCTCTTGTCCGCTTGTTGAAGTTGAGTTTACGTACAGTAAAAAAGAATGGCACAAAGGAAGAAAAGGAAAATCTGAAATTTGAAGCAAAG